CACACAGTGGCTATAAAAAAGAATCTGATAACTTAAATGAAAAGATTACCAATATCAATATAGAGAAAGCAAAGATAGATTAGTTGGAATTTGCTGGAGCAGTCACTTCGTGGCTAAAATCCTTTCTGTTTCACGCTCAGCTTCTTCTGTTTCTTTACGATTACGTTCGATTAAAGTATATAGGTCATCTTTTTTTGTTATAATTTCAGCAGTATTAGATGGGTCAAAAATTCGATTAGTCTTAGATCTCAGTTTTTTCCTCTTTATCTGTATATCTGAAGTAACGATAGGAGTTTCTACAGAATGTGTAATGTGATTTATGGATCGAGTTTTCATGCTCATATCGGTTTTATTAATCGTATTGTCTCCGCCAATATTTGATTGCGACATCACTTCCCTAGGATCTATTGGAGGATGATTTTCCCTCCATATTTGATATACACGCCTTGTTGATATTTTATATTTGATAGCCATAGCTTCTGATGCATGTTTCATCAAATTTCTGGCATTAATGATATCTTGTATATTATCATCTGATAAAGGAGTTGCATCAGATCGCAGATATCGAATTATTTTTTCAGAGTTTTGTGTCATGATCTATTTATAAAAAATAAAAAAAATATTTAGATATAAATTCGAAAGTTTTTCAATCTAGTTTCGATACATATCTAGACTGTTCGATAAATATCCAATTTTGTTTCGATATATCTAGATCATTCGGTTAACATCTAATTCTATTTCGGTAAATATTCGATTTAGATATATTGGTTAATATTTAATCTTCATTCGGTTAACATCCAATTCTATTTCGGTGAATATTCGATTTAGATATATCGATTAATATCTAATCTTTATTCGATTTATTCTTTTTTATTAGTATTTGATTAATATCTTCAGTCAACATTCGATTAGTATGACCACAAGCAGTGCAATAAAAACTTACCATTTTTTGTGTTTCGGTAGAAAGGTGGATAACGGAAGTTTGTGATTTAATTGATTTTTTTATTATATTATCTATTATTTGATATGACATATGTTAAAGATCTTGAGGAAGAAATACATCGTATCCTCCAATCTTCTTCTAAATTACGTAACTATAACAGTGAGTTACGGGATAAATACATAAAGCAAGAGGAAAATTTTGATCGAGAAAGGAAGGGATGGGATCGGGATAGAAAGACGTGGAGTAAAAAACTGGGTGGGTCCAAAGCTGAGAATGATATAAAATCTAAGAAAATTAGATCGCTTGAGTCTATGATTGAGATATTGGAAGGTAAGTTGTCTTCATCCCAGAAAGATGTGATTTCGATTCAAAACAACTCATCGAAAAAAGAAACTGAGATCACATCTCTCAAATCCAAAATAGCTGAAGTAGAACATGAGTTAGCTTCGAAAGTCAGTGAACTTGAGTGTCTGAAATCGGAGACTATATCAAACCCCATACTTGGTGGAAATGATGAAAAAAATATGATCAAGTCTGATGATATATCTGCAGTTATTGAATCTAGTAAAGATCTTAGTCAATATTTTCTATGCAGAAAAAAGATGGATCCAATGGAAAAAATCGATGGTGAGATTACCGAACTACCAAAAAATGATACCAAGATCGACCCCAAGATAAGTGATGAAACTAGCATTAGCGAAATTAACAAAGATAATATGCTAGATATATTGATAAAACCCAATGCATCAGAGGTCATGCCTCAAATCCCAATAGGAGCGATGAGACCTAGTCTCGAGGCTCTGCCTCTCCCTGTTATGACAAGCATGTTGATGTCACCTCTATCGGCATATATTTTTCTTGTTCTATTAATTATCGCAGTTATGTGGTTCATGGTATTGAGACGTACATGGAATATAAGTAAAAAACATGATCGGTTACTGGATATGTGGATTGGATAACTGAGACTATCTATTTGAACTTCGATATTATTCATGTATGAAAAAAAAAAATATTATTAATAATATATAAGTATCTTAGCCCTATGAAAAATAAGCACAGAAATTCTGTACATTTTCCATACATTTTCTGAAATTCCATACAAATTCCATGTTTTAAGATTTTTTGGATATGGAAAATGTACGGAAAATGTAAGGAAAATTTTCTGTATGGAAAATGTATGGTTTTGTACTGGAAAATTTCTGTATGGAAAATGTATGGTTTTATACCAGAAAATTTTGGGAATTTTCCATTCCAAAATGTACAGTTTTACATGGAAAATTTCTTATTACAAGAGCATACAGCATTGATTTTATTTAAAAGTCTATATCATCATCATCAATTATACAATTAATTTCAGTTTTTCTATTTGGTGGTCTAAAAGATAAAAATCCTACACAATGGTCAATTCCAATTATTTCTATAAATTTATTCGAGCCATAATCTTCAAAATATTTTAGACCATATTCATCTGTTATGACATCAGTAGTGAAGTGAACTAGTGCTAGCATATGGTCTTTTCCATTATAATTATGAATAATATAATATAAAATTTTTCCAAATTTAATTACTTCTTTTAAATCTTGAGGTGCATTTTTTCTTCTAGCATTTAAATCAATAGTCATATTAATCTAATCGAAGAAAAAAAATATTAGAATGCATTTTACATTTGATATTAAAATTAATTATTTAACAAAAATTATTACATACTGCAACCAGATAATTATTTTTTCTTTTTTCCTTCTTATCTTCATTATACAGTATATAGATTTTATGATATGGCCATATTTGTTCATCATTTTTGCATACTTATGACAATCAGGAGAAATATTCTAGGTCATAAAATTAATTGAGGAAATTAATTATTGTGCTTGAACATAAGGAACTGAATTTGAATCAAATGATTACCTTTATATATTGATTATTTAAATTATAAATGGCACCATAACATTCCTTTAACTTATTTGCTTCACTATTATTTAATGAATGCTTCACACTTGGTGAATAGAATTCATAACCTTCATAATTGTTATTAACATATACTCTATGGGAAGGCCAACCCCTATTTTCCTCTACAGATTCTTCAAAAATTGTACTATATTGAGGGAAAAATTTAATTAAATTGAATTGTTCCAATAAAGTAATATTATTAAATAAATTTTTGTATGGGTCCTTTTTGGATTTTGTTAATGGTAACAACATCCCACAAAGCCTTTCAATTGGATATTGCCAATAGCCACAACATGGTCCAAAATCATCTATACACTTGCTTATATGTAGTAAGTAATGAAATGTTAACAAATGTATTCTTAATCTTTCTTGGTTACCATCTTCATTATAATTACTAAAATTAAATAATATTTAATAATCAAAAATTTTTATTTTTACTCAATATAACTTAAATAAAAATTTTCCAAATTCTCCTTAATCAAGTTTGGCTCATCTCCTTCAAGTTGTGGTTCTATACATAACTTTGCTGCCTTTACAAAATAATTCCATCCTTGCAAAAATCTTTATTTTTCATTAGTATATATATATAATTAAAAATTTATAAATATCATCATAATTACCTTTCATCAATTCTACCTTTAATTAATGGCAATGAAAAATGCAATATCCATTTAGACCACTCTTCAGCTTTATAACCAGCTGAATGTTTATATATATCTCTTGGTATTCTTCCATTACTGGGCATATTATACTTGTTATTATGTAGAATAGTACCAATTTCTTTCCAATCTTTTTTGCCAATTAAATAATTTTCATCTAAATCAACATTCTTATAAAAATTTCCAGACCAAAATTTGTGCCATATTTTCAAAAAATAAATGCATAATGTCAAGTGGAAAAGATCTTGGAAACCTTATAGATTTCAATTCAAATAAAATGCTCTTTTCTTTAACCCCTATTAAAATGGTATTTATATAATGTGATAAAACAATTAAAAAAATTTAAGAATAGATACAAATAGATAAAAAATTTAAATAAAATGAAATTACCATATTTTTTTATTAATGACTCTTTGAGGTTATTTGATCCACAACCATTAATTTCATCAATATTTTTTAAAATTTCTTCATGGCCCCGAAGAGGAAGATTTGATGTAGAATGGTTTTGTAAAGGATAATATATATGTCGATTACTTGTCAGCAATTTTCCTTCAATCTTGCAAAATCTACACCCCTGATAAGAATTATGTCCTGTGAAACACATAACTTTTGTTACAGCAGGTATATCTCCTGTCCAAGCCAAGATGTGAGCTTTTAATTGAAACAACTCATCATTCAAAGCATCATAGCATTCTATTCCATCTATGAAATAATTATAATAAATTAATTTTAACTCTTAAAATTCATATTAAATACAAAAAAAAAGAATTCAAATTAATGAAATTAAAAAATTTAACCTTGTAGAATTTTCATTTCTTCAATAAATGGTTGTAGAAATGAATTGAAATCTTTTGGTTGATTGGGACCTGGTATAATAAAACTTATTATTAAATTTTCTTTTTTCACCCTTACTTCTGGTGCAAGATTGTTATTTATTACTAAAAAGACCCAATTATCATCTGTTTTTTGTTGGAAGATTTGATAACCATCACAAGAAACTGTCAATGCCAACTCCCTTTGATCTATTTATAAAAAATAAAAAAAATATTTAGATATAAATTCGAAAGTTTTTCAATCTAGTTTCGATACATATCTAGACTGTTCGATAAATATCCAATTTTGTTTCGATATATCTAGATCATTCGGTTAACATCTAATTCTATTTCGGTAAATATTCGATTTAGATATATTGGTTAATATTTAATCTTCATTCGGTTAACATCCAATTCTATTTCGGTGAATATTCGATTTAGATATATCGATTAATATCTAATCTTTATTCGATTTATTCTTTTTTATTAGTATTTGATTAATATCTTCAGTCAACATTCGATTAGTATGACCACAAGCAGTGCAATAAAAACTTACCATTTTTTGTGTTTCGGTAGAAAGGTGGATAACGGAAGTTTGTGATTTAATTGATTTTTTTATTATATTATCTATTATTTGATATGACATATGTTAAAGATCTTGAGGAAGAAATACATCGTATCCTCCAATCTTCTTCTAAATTACGTAACTATAACAGTGAGTTACGGGATAAATACATAAAGCAAGAGGAAAATTTTGATCGAGAAAGGAAGGGATGGGATCGGGATAGAAAGACGTGGAGTAAAAAACTGGGTGGGTCCAAAGCTGAGAATGATATAAAATCTAAGAAAATTAGATCGCTTGAGTCTATGATTGAGATATTGGAAGGTAAGTTGTCTTCATCCCAGAAAGATGTGATTTCGATTCAAAACAACTCATCGAAAAAAGAAACTGAGATCACATCTCTCAAATCCAAAATAGCTGAAGTAGAACATGAGTTAGCTTCGAAAGTCAGTGAACTTGAGTATCTGAAATCGGAGGCTATATCAAACCCCGTACTTGGTGGAGACGACGAAAAAAATACGCTGTGCGAGGAACAAAGTTCCATAACCAAGTCTGACGATATATCTGCAATTAGTGAACCTATCAAAAATCTCAGTCAATATTTTATACGTAAAAAAAATATGGATCAAGCTGGAAAAATCGATGGTAATATCTCGGATCATACTAGGCATGATGGGATTACTGAACCATCAAAAGTCGATACTGAGATCAGCTCTAAGATAAATGAGGAAACTAACATTAACGAA